TACAACTGAGAATAAAGTGGTGTAAAAGCAGTGTTTGGAGGTTTTTTGAAGTTCACTTGGAAACATCATAGTTTGGGTGCAGATCTCAGTCTTAAATCAAAAATTCACTTTGGCCCTCTGACTGACTTTTATACCCACTCAGTTTTTCCCATTCAGTTCATTCCATTCCCAATTTTGACATGCTTTTTGTCATTGATATACGAGTTGCTTCACTTTTCTGGTCAGCCATGGACAATCTTTGTTATGCAATTTTAAAATCTTAGACGGAAATTCTGGTTATATGGAGGCTGATCCTATGACTGGTCTGAAAGAGAATTGTCTTTGTATGTGAATTAGTAAGTACTGTACAGTAGCCGTAGTAGCAATTAGAGGAAAGGGGCAGCAATCTTTTATCTGCAGTAGTACAGTAGAAGGATAGCACATTTCATTCAAAGACTTCTATGGTTTCATTCTGGAAGCCTACTAATGTAAATTTTAATATATAAATTCTTTGTGAGCATTTTGTTTTTCAAGTTTTTTAAAATTATTCCTTTGTGAGATAACCATATAATGATTGTTTTTTCCATGTTTTTTGTGATATCCTAAGGCCTACTCTTCAAAGATAAACAAACACTTTTAGGAATGGCACGAGCATTGCAAAAGTAATTGGCATGCTGCTTTAGCTACCACCACCAACACGGATGATCAACTGGGAATATGTTTGGCATGCACAGGTCCGTGGCCTGTTGTTGCATAGGCCTACAGGTGTGCTAAGCTATTATTTTAGACACCATGTACGACAACTACACTGTGTGGCCAATAGGAGATATATTTAAAGGACTTTTCAGGTTCACTGATGTACTAAAGAAAAAAAGAAAGCATTTGAGGAAGGTGATAACATCAAACAAAAACAAATTAAAAAGTTATTAAAGAATGTACAAAGAATGTCAAACACATAGAAGGAAAATTTAAGATAACTTTAGACAGAACAATGCTAAAAGTGCTTGGTCCGGATTTAAGGAAATCACAGGAACTGGAAAAAAGAAAGATTTTAATTATGAACTTGAGCATAAACTTTGTATAAATGATCTAAATATACTCTATAACAGGTTTGATAACGATTGCCATCTACTGTATATGATGATGTTAAAGTTATATGCCATGGTTTTTGAAATCGAGATTAACCAAAGTGTAAATAGTAATGAAAGCTGTGCAACTGATAATGACAGAAATATTCTCAAAAAATTTTATGATCATAAGGCAACTGGTATTGCTAAGCTTTTGAAAACTTGTGCTAATGAGAATAAGTCATGCTTTTTTCCCATTTGTCTATCAACTCCAAAGATTTGGAAGACATCATACATTAAACCTCTACCAAAGAAACAGAACCCACAGTGCAATAATGATTATACACCTATAGCATTAACTGTTTTACCAATGAAATGCTTGGAAACCATAGTTATTAAGTGAATGTAGCGATTCATTAGACTCATATCAATTTGCTTACGAGAGTAAGGTTGGGATCTGATGCTTTTCTTACTTTTCTTCATTCCATTTACTCTCATCTTGAAAAGAAGCGTTCTTACGCTCTGAAATAATTAATGATTCAAAACACCTTTTAAATCAGTTTATCGCTTATCAGATTAAACCAATTGGTGGGAACCGCACAAGTAGACACCAAAATTCATTCATATTTAATGCTATCCATGAATTTAATCATAGATTTGCCAGACAATATTAGTAGTTAAGTACTTTACATTAATTATCGTATTGTATCCGTTTGTTGTTTTTCAATGTTTTCTTATATTTAATTGCATTTTACTGTCTATGTCTTTCATTGTATGCAGTAAGCAAAAAGAATTTCATTCATCACAAGTTTGGTTGATGACAATAAAGCAATCTTGAATATTGAATGTAGGCTGGGCAAGGAAGACCCATGATGCCTGTGTTTTTTGAAATTCAAAGATTTATGAGACACAATGTTTAACACTTGAGAACATCAACAGATTTAAGAAAAAGCAAAATATATGGTACATTGTCTTTATTCATAAAAATCTTAATGGTTTTTGTACACATGTACATGCCTTATAGTTAATTATCATATGTATATTTATATTGCATTGTTTTAGTAAACTCACTAGCTTGCCCTCTGGGATTAATGTAAATTATACCAAATAAATAAATAGAATTAAAGACCAGCGGGTACTTCAATTAGAGGCACGGTTAGACTTGCACTATGGACTAAAACTTGGGAGATGCGCTTCAACACGACAAAGTTTCCTTGCAATATCATTCCATCGAGAAACAACAAGAACCTTTTTCTACTTCATGAAGACTGTCATCCTTAAACAAGTCAGGCCTACACTGCCCTAGTAAGGTCCAAACTCAAGTATTGTGTTACAGCTTTGAATCCACATGAACAGAAATTGAGAATGTCAAAGTACAAAGACAAGCCATCCAGTTTGTCTCCAGAGACTACCAAAAAAAAGAGTAGTAACACAAATGATGGAACAACTTAAATGGAAACCACTTTCTACATTTTAGACAATCTTAAATATATAAAATAAAATTATTCAGACTTTTTTTGCCATCACATCCTCTGACATAAAATTCCATACTGGTCCCAGTAGGTCATCTTCAGCTCAAAAAATCAAAAAAAAAAAAAAAGAAAAAAAGAAAAAAAAAAGAGGCATGTCCCAACACAAACACATATGAATTTTCATTTTTCCCACGAACAATAAATGACTGGAACAAACCTGACGTCTTGATTACCAATGTACCCCTCAGAGAAATCAAATGATAACTATTTTATTGTGGCTACGGCTATCTGGTGTAACGAACTGTTTCTCTCATCACATAGCAGTACCATCTGTGCCTGCACTCATATTCAACATTGAGGTCCATAGGCTATGCAATCTAGCACTTGAAGTCAAACAAATTGCCAACAAACGTTTTTATGTTTTCCAAACAAATACATTTGATGAGGGGATGAAATTCCACAAATCACACCTTGGGTACACTTCAGGAACATATGCAAATTAGCTAAAATATGCAAATTAGGTTGAAAATATAGTGTTCTCATATCTAGGTAACCGCTGGTTGCAAAGAGTTGCTTTCTTTTTCAGATTATTCAGAACATGCATGTTTCTATTTGCTTAATAGAACGTTTGCCTGAACGGACAAAAAAATGCTACAATTGACCTCTGAACTTATATTCACTGAATTCATTATATTTTAATTTCTCTTTTTTGTAACATTTTAGCCCTAGAACTCAATTGAAATGTTATATGTCAATTGCAACCAAATGGCCAAATAGTATACAGTTATCGATTAACCAGTGGTGATGTTTTTAGTTCAGGGATAACAAAATAAACATGATCAAATCAGGGATTTTTCAATTACAATAATAATAATTACACTGTACCTGAATATTAATTTCTGAACTATGTTAATTTTTTATGAGCATACTGTCACCGAGATGCTATAGCACCCTCAATATGTTTCGGTGGATACACGCCGACAAGTAGCCATGATGATATGTTGAATAAATATAGTTCTATTTGAGTTTATATGATTGTTGTCAGTGCTTCGGAGCCGTCATCTAGTTTGATATTCCAGTAGCCTGATCGTGCATCAAGCTTCATAAAATACTTTGCAACTTGGAGTCTGGGTAATATATCATCAAGTGTCTGTGTGAAGTAATGTGGCCTCTTGACCTGTTTGTTTAAGTCCCTGCGATCAAGGCATATTCTCAGATCTCCTGATGGCTTTGTTACATAAACAATACTGTTAACCCAGTCTGTGGGTTGATCTACATTTCGAATAATGTCAGGATCCATCATTCTATGTAGTTCTTTCTTTAATGCGGCTTTTTGCGATTCTGGCACGCGCCTGGGTGGATGTACACAAGGTTCTGCTCCATCTTTTAGCTCAATTTTATACTTGCCTGGGAACTGACGTACACCTTCAAAGCAGTCTGGATACTGTGGTTAGTCTGTCTTTGGGTGTTTCTGACAGTTTAGTGTAATGAGGTTGAAGTCTAAACATGCTTGCAGACTTAACATTGTCTTTCCTTCGTCCTGTGTTATGTGGAATTTCAGTTTCTTTGTCATATTATTATGAGTACATGTGATGTTTTTCACTCCATACACTATTATTTTAGCTTTGTGTTAGTTTTCATTAGGTCTGTTGGTTTCCATCCCTAATTTTCGTTGGAAATAATTCTTTGTATACTCTCAGCAGCATGACGTTTACTTCTGCTCCACTGTCTATCTTACATTTGACTCTTTATTGTTCATCAATAGCTTTGTATGTGCTTGTGATCCTGAGGCGCTTTCAACCGAGTCCAATGCAAATGAAGATGTTTCATCCTCTGTTACTTCTCTTATTTTGTGAGATCTTTGCTTTGGTCCATATTTTGTCTGTTCTCTTGTTTTTTTGCAGTGGTAGCATTTTACATTCCTGGCTTGGCATTCATTTTTAGGATGCTTTTCCCCACAGCGTGTGCATTCACTGGTACTTGGTCGCTTACCGTAGCTTTGACTTTATTGCTTGCTGTAGCTTGGTTTACTCCTTCGAGAAGCTGCATCAACGGCGTACCTTATTGACTGAACACACACACAGTTCTACCCTAAATTTCTGTCATGTTTTTGTGTACCTTCGTACATACGAACTAATTTAAGTGCATCACTGAGCGTTAACTTTTCGTCTTTTGCTATTAGTTTTCGTCTGATATTATTGTCGCATACACCAGCTATAATATGTCTGTGTAACCATAGAGAAAATAGAACTATTTTCTCTATGGTGTAACCACAGTCCTCAATAACTCTCTTGGCTCTCGTATATAGAAGGAGTTCATTGATTCACCTTCATCTTGTTTAAGCGCCCGTTGTAGTGTAGTCCTAGAGTGTGATGCATATGCACGCAGCGATTGTATATCGCGTGCACATGTAATGAGGCACTAACGTGATGGCCTACGCGTATCCTAGTTTTTGGGATCCCGGCTGTCATTGAGTAAAGACGTTTGTTATTGTTATTGAGTTGTTGAGAACTTTCTTCCTTTAATTCTAGCATGGAGACTTTGACTGTTTATAAGGAAAGGCTCCAGCAGTATTTTGTGGCAAATGACGTTAAACCCAACAGGCAAGTTGCTACTTTGTTGACACTTGTTGGACAGAAAACATACAGCCTGATACGTGACTTATCGCAGCCAGATAAACAGTTCGAGAAGTCATGTGACAAACTCAACAAGCTGTTGAAGGTCCATTTTACTCCTCAACCACTCGTAATAGCGGAGCGCTTCAGATTTTCAGATCAACACAGTGGTGAGTACATACTTGATTTTAACACAAGACTTAAATGCCTAGCCGAACATTTGGAAATGTGTTAAATGATGCACTACGGGATAGGTTAGTGTGTGGCTTTGTGAATACAACTATTCAACATTGGTGGTTGTCAGAAAAAACTGACATATAAAAAAGCTCTTGAATTATCTGTGGCTTTTGAATCGGCGACGAAGGAGGTAAAGGAGTTACATACATCACCTGCTACCCAGTGTAGTCAGGAGGATCATGCACTTAAACCAAGCTACAACAAATCATTCTTGTTTGGGTGAGCATATGCAGCACACACATGCAGATTCAAAATGTTACAAATGCGGGAAAGTTGGACACATTAGAGTAGCGTGTTGCAACATCACGCAATGGAAACCAGCAGAAGTCTACTAGGAAAGCGGCAAAAATGAACGAGTCAAGGTACGAGGTCAGTCTGACACACATGAAATGACTGGGCTTCATGAAGTCAGCGGTCGTTCACGCCCTGCAGTAACTGTGACAATGGAAGTAAATCAGAAACCAATTGACTTCACTGTAGATACCGCAGCTGCCTTTACTGTAGTGAACGAACATTTGATTGATTAACAAACTTTTTGGAGTAAATTAAGCTGGACACTTGTAATATGAAATTGGAAAGTTACTCAGGTGACTTGGTACATGTTAAAGGTAAATTCATGACCAATGTTTGTTATAATGATCAGCTGTTTAATTTACCTATTGTACTGTAGTTGTTACTGGCCATAAGCCATCACTATTGATAATATCACATTTATCTGTGCAGTCCATACAGACACAGATAGAGTAATAAACTGTCTATTTAGTCTTCTTTCTTTTGATGAACTGTGATATAAATCGTAACATCTTGTGTTAACTTTAGCATATTGTGAAAGAAAATCGAAAATACAATCCCACAATGTTCAATGTAAAACACAGTAGTACATGTGTTTAATTCTGTGTAGACAGAAATCCACAAAATACATGCAAACAAAACAGTGGCTACAATCCACCTTTTGCGCTTGGTAGCTTTTGGGCAGTGACATCATCTGTATGAGGTATGAAATCAAAACACTGGATACCTAATAGCGAAGCTGTACTGTAAATTTCTTAAAATCATGGTCAGACTTTGTTTGCTAAGTAACTTATTCAAGAATATTTATAAAAAACTAATTCAAAAGTTAGTGGGTACTATATAGCTTACTTTTTGTAATATTTTATTGGTGCACATTTAAAAACAAAGATGATTTTAAGCTTCAAATCGTACCTTGTGGAATAATAGGCCAGCCAAGGCCTGTGGGTTTGTATTAATTATTAGTTCTGCACAATCCATAATCCTACAATAATGAACCACGGAAATACTTCCTAATATAGATTGTATTCTTATGAATTATTTATTTATTTATTTTATTGTGTATACAGTATGACTCATTTATTTTGATCACCAAGACAAATGAATGTCTCAGGATATCCCTCTGGCAGGCTAGGCATACACAGCCACTGCACACTATCAAATCACTACAATGAGGGAGGGTTATTATGTTTTATGGTCTTTTGAAATGTTTTTTTCTAGTTTAACATTCAGATATTGTATGTGGTGCTGACCTGAAGAATAACTCCTAGGCCTAGGTCTTTGCGCAAAGCAGTAGCTACAGAAGGCCGCCTACTAATAACTGTACCCACTAATGCATTGTTAACATTTCTCTTAATATTATGTCCAAGCTTTACCATCAATATCTTTCATCCATTTTGATGTCCAACGTCCTAACATCTCAGACATAATATTGGAACATTTGTTCGTAAAAGAAATTTCATGTTTAAAAATACAGAAACAGCAATTATGTTGTCATTTACAACAGACACATTCAGCAAAAACAGTTGCTGAGCTGCCATTTTTACAGTGTATTACCTCAAGAATTCAAAACAATCACAAAGTAGAGTACCTCATACAGATAAGTGACCGAACAGACGCAAAAGGTGGATATGAAGACACGTAGATCCCACAGCACAAATTAATACTGGCATCCTTAATGTCAATGAGAGGATAATTCCAATTGACCGACCGGTTAATGTACAGGCGCTGTAGTCTAGAGACTCACAAATTGGCAATGCTCCAGAACGTCCTTGTTCTTGGTTCTTTTGTTCTTGGTTTCCATCGTAGAACCAGGTCTTCTTAACTTTAGGACAGTAAACTGTAGGCCTAGTGTACACCCGGAGAAGGCCGTTTTCAGGTTCTGAAAACCTTGTGGTCTGTGGTCGGGAGTCACACACTGACCACTCTCAGCCAGTGATGCATAGATACCTTAGCATTCACTGTTGACGGGCTGTGAAGTGGTTCACGCTATGTTTCAGCCCTAGGTGCAAGTACTCCATGGCTTATTTAAATGAATAAAATAAATAGCATAATACATATTCCAAATATTGAAATGCACGCCATCGTGTCTGGATTCAAGATTTTAACATCAATTATGTCATCATCAGGAATGATAGTGACCACATATCATTAATAACGATCAGGCCGTAAAAACCCAGACAAAAAAAAACCAAAAAAAAAAAACCATGTACTCTTCAAGACCCCAAGAAATCTTTTGACAAGAGCAGGGGATATCCCAAAGTCCACCCCTGCTATGGATTAGGCATGAGTGACAACTGGCAGCAACTGACACAATAGGACACTTTGGGGAGTAAGAAGTAGCACAGAGAGACTAGTAAGTTGAACACCTGTACCTTTAGGCATGCAGAGAAAATAATTTAAATTGACCATGTGAAAATAGCATTTGAATCTTTATTATAATAATAAGCACTGATTCTCCTCGATTATTATCATGTTACTTTTTTGGAAACATTCGTATAAACATGATCATCCAGAGGTAGACCATGAAAACTAGTGCCAGCATTCCCCACATCCACCAATTACATGACTTTTTCGAGTGTTTTTCCATTCGGGCAGATTGAACCTTGAGTTGCAACGTGTTGGTGTCTGCCTGTTTGAGTGTACTCTCCAACCTCTGTTTTAAATAACAAAAGTAATACAATCAAAATGTTACATAATTATGATAGTATAATAATAATACTAATAATGCTAAAAAATGTTACTGACTGACAATACAGTAGTTGAGCTGTTTGTTTTGTCAGACTAATTTAACACTTTGACTGCCAAAGACAGAGATCTCCGTCTTTTGTTACACAACGCTTGACTGCCAAAGACGGAAATCTCCGTCTTTTGAGTATTATTACACAATCCGATAGATATGGAAGTGTGGTAGACATTTCTGCAGTAAATTCATTTGGGCCGTACATTTTTTCACTTTTGAAACCCCACCCCCCAACATGCTTAGCGTGACGTGTTTGCTTACACCAAAGAGCTCGAGTATCTCCTGGTTACGAAACGCGACGAAGAAAATGGATTGCACTAGTCTGTTTTCAGAAGAGGTCATTTCAGAAATCTTCGTGGATTTGGACTCCAAAAATGATTTTTTAGTATGCAACAATGTATGTACATGTCTTATTTACATTTACCAATAAATGAGATAAAACAAGAGTTTTGATATTTGTTGAGGCTGTCCGTCGACAATGTGTGCACAACAGTCAGGCTTGGTGGCCGATGCGTTATGTAGCTAGGGCTAGGCCTAGCCTTCTTCGGTAATTTAGCCCAGGCCTTGCATATAATGCAATATTTTATGTAATATAGTGAGTACAGATTACAGAAATATATAAAAGTATACTGACTGCATTAGTGAAGTCGGCAGGCCTAGACCTAAATAGTAGCGTGTGAATGCAGGCCTAGGCCTAGCAAATGAAAATATGTAATATTCACACTTTTTAGTTGTTTGGGGAGGGGGGGTAGCCAACCTACCCCAGGGCTTTGTGGTGGGTATGTGTACAAGGTCGTGTGCAATTACACCAGTGTTTTTATATTTCATTTTTATCAATATGTATATATCTAACAAAGCAATGAAAACAGGCAATATTCACACTTTTAGTTGTTTGGAGGAGGGTGAGGGTGGGGGTAGCCAACCCTACCCCAGGGCTCAGTGGTGGGGGTATGTGTACAAAGTCGTGTGCAATTACACCAGTGTTTTTATATTTCATTTTTATCAATATGAGTTTATCTAACAAAGCAATGAAAATAGGCAATATTCACACGTTTAGTTGTTTTGAGAGTTGGGGATAGCCAACTCTCAGTGGACCTCATCTATGCGTGGGATTTATAATTTTATTATGTTAGACTCATGTATGTATAAATAACTAATACACTAAAGGGGATAAAAAGTCTGATTATTGTGTTTAGTTGTTGGTTTTTAGTGTTTAGGAGTTGTGAAACTAAAAATGCTGTTTTCTCAGCTTTATTGCCTGAAAAGAGTGAAATTGCAATAAGTTATGTGTTTACTATTCAAAATTGTGTTGCAATAGTTTATTTTATGAATAAAATGTATGATATCATTTGAAAGCTCATGAATTACTCTTTATTTTGGTGTAAAGAACATTCCATAAATTTTGTATATACATGTATTCTCAATGTGAACTGGCTCTCTGCCAGACATTTTGGCCTATATGACCATCACTAAAATGGCCTGGCAGTCAAAGTGTTAACATGTAGTTGCAATTCCCCATGGTACATCTTAGTTAAGTCTGTGTCTTTCATCATAGTTAATTAACAGAAAGTAGAACTTAAAATGTTTTAATTTACAATATGAGATGGTGAATCTTATACAGTACTATAGTTTCATCACACATTTTTAAATCAAATCTATTAATCTTGGAAGAATTCAAAAATATTGATAAGAATACAAGAAACACATACAATTTTCATTCTATTTTTTACACGTTATCACAAAAGGCTGTATTACAAAAATAAAAATTCCAAAAAATGTATTTTTAAATGCAATCTGTAAAAAAATCATAAAAAAAGAAATTAAATTAAAAAGAACAAGTAAATGACATAGCAGAGAGTTGAGCATTATTATATTTTCAACATAAAAATCAATAAAGCAAAGCTAGACTGCAGCTATAATCCATGATGTAATTATTCAGCATTGCAAAAAACACTCACCTCATTGTCTTTCTTGATAATGTCACCAGCAGCGGATGTTGTGTTCTTTAACCTCCTAACCAAAGAGATCATGTTCTCTGCCAATTTCTCTTGCATATTTTGATGCTGTTGTAAAAATTCATCCAAATCTTCAGATCCATCGACCTTAACATGTCCACTGCAAGAATACAGAGTAGTACCAATAATTTAATTTTATTACAGATATTATTATATTAAATGAATAGTGATGTCTACTAATACTAGCATGATATCATTGTGTTTTGTACATCGTTAACAGTGTTTCAAAGCTTGTTTCACTTGAAAGTCTTATTGGAATCTGAATGTGGTTTCCATTCTTCCTAAATGTTTAATTTCACTTCTATTTCTTACATTTGAATGTTGGTTTGGTTGAATGACCAGTCAGTGGTGATATCCATGGATGCTTCCTTGGGCTTCATGACTTCTGTAAATACTGAGCTTAGACCTGGGGTAGGCCTACCACACATTATTACATCAACTTTTTCTTTATTATCATGTGCTCCTGGGTAATGATAGAATGTGGAATTATGCGGTCACTCCTTTAATGTTTAAAGTTGAAACTTCCCCATGCTATAACGGCCAAAAAATTATGAATCTGCCCTGAAGTTAGTATGTAAGGCCTATTGAATGACCTATTGAAAATCCTTCTGGGGGTCTAACCCCCGACACACCCAGGCCAGAAAAACATTCTACGCTATGCAACTGAAAATATCAAAATGAAAAAATTATATCTACCTTTCTTGTATTGAGCCATCCTCTACATTCTGATTTTGGGAAAAGAAAACAAAAGTGGATAAAGTTAAGGATATAATATGAATAACCAAATATTATGTCATATTATGACAATAATATTTGTGTATATTAATGTATGAAATCATCCAATTATTCATTTTTACTAAATATATTTTCAATACAAAATTTCAGCATAAGTGTAATAATAGTGCAGTTAATACCACCATAATAAAATAAATCATTAAAAAAACATAAATAACATTGGCAAACAATAGGCATTATAACTTGAGGTAGTGTTAATTAGAATTTTGTAATAACAAATTCTCCCTGTAAATATTACCCTCCTGATGACAAAAAAAACAACAGGTCATTTCAGAACTTTACTTTAAAATTATTTTTATTGTACTGTTAATTATTTTTACAATTATTAACATTATCAATTATTGTTGCATTGTGTGCTATTGTTTTTTATTTATTCATATTTATTTAAACACATTCAAGCAATACATTACAATATACAGAAATTTAAAATAAATAATCATTATATTAAAGCCGATTGTGACGTCATCATTGTAAAAATGCTATTGTTATTTTCCTATCCCAGAACATGTACTAATTTTTCATTAGTGCACAGTGTGTTTGAACTTTTTCAATTCATGTGGTAAAAAAAACTTGTAGAGTGTATCGCGCACCATGATGAATATATTAGACAAGTGTCTTAGCACCTAGCGCTACAACGTGCGTCTACAGAAAAACATGGCAGACACTTGCCTAATCATAGTTTGTTTACAAGTGGTAATTGAAAAAATGACATAGAACAAGGAAAATTAGAACCCAAAGAAAGTCACTTCAAATTCAATATTTGAGGCTTGCCATCCCGAAACCATTTACCATTCAATGGTTTTGGGATCCCAAATTACCCAAATACATTCAAATTTGGTTAGCACTTCTCATTAGTATGTTATATGCCCCCAAAAATCCCCCAATGCATAGTGTGAAAATAGATTTACGCTTTTTCAGAAGGCCATATCTTATCATTCCTTAAATTAAGGAAGTTAAAATTAAACCTGTGATGAATATGCTCATACTACATACAAAAATTTGCAAGGTAATAGAGCATTAAAGAAGGTATGATGGATACGCAAACATGGTTGGAGGAGGCATTTCTTGAAAGAGAGGCCAAATATCAGTCTATGTATAGCAATTCTCAACTTATACTTTTTAGATATAGTTTTTAAAAAAACCACACAAAGGTAAAGGAGTCATTACCGGCATTAAAAAAGGGATGTGGTACCTACATTACAAATGGTTGTAACTTAAAAACCACTTGGAAAATTGGAGCTGAAATTTTGGATTCTTTCTTCTGATATAATGGTGTTTTTAGAATTTTTGGACATGGTGGTGGTTGATTTGAGTTGGAATGACCCCATAATTTTGGCAATAGTAAATCAATTCCAGGAAATGACCCATCATTTTAAAGCTTATAATGGGAGAAATATGAATATATCAAAAAAGTCAATTTTAATGCAGTCCCATTTGTGTATAGAAAATTAAGGATCCTTAAATTCAAGGACCCTAATAAACTATTAAAGAAACTAAAAATTTAATAAGTAGGCCATGGCTTATTGTAGATAAAATCATACGATTTTACATGTCTGCACCAACCAAAAGAAGTAATTATTTTTTTTCTTCAAAAGCTTGAAGAAATTTTTATTTCAAGATGAATGGATGAATATCAAGTATTCATCCATTTCAACTCTAGCGTTGCTGCGTACTGCAACAATTTGCATACGCACAGCTAAATGTATGATCACGCACAGATGTACTGATCATATCACTATAGAAACCGATGACTACATACATTACTGCATTTATATAGCTCTATTTCATGAAGATCAAAGAGTGGAGTACTTTAGTACATAACTAGATCGTACCACTATAGTTTGATTATCAATAAATTTACAGGAATTTTATTCATATTAATCTAACCTTCAAAATATAGTTTTCACTAGTGTATGATTCACAACTATACCAATTGCTTATTATTACATACTGTATGAAAATATTTATTGAATAAATAATACATCAAAACAATTGTACTATAAATGCTACCTTAACATATGTGAATTAATTGAGTACGGTATGCCCTGTAGCAAGCCAATACTGTACTTACATCTCCTAGTAATTCTTTTCTCATCTCATTGGTATAATGTGAGGTAGCTTGCAGATGAAGTCTCTTTGTTGTTGTTTTTCCAATTTCTGTTTTTGAGTCTGGTAGAGTGGGCACTGATGAGGTAGCAAGGAGCTGACTACATTCAGCCCTTTCCAAAGCACCATTCTAAAAATGATAATAAAGAAAAGGAAATCTTTTTTTAGTAATACAGGTATTAACCATTTAATATTTTAAAATCCTAACCTATTATTGGTATATTGTACCTGGAAATAAAACAGAGAGAACTGCATTACTGCAGTTTCAGGGTACAATTGAATAGATTATGACAACGTTAACCCTTTCCAGTATGCCCCATTGCCATTGCCTGAGGCTGTACCAAAGCTGGGAAATTACATCATCTACACTAAATGTCGGGTTTTTACTGGGCGCAGGCATTTTATTTGGTCTAATCACAGGAGGCCCTCTACAGAAATACTCCTACATCACAGTCAAAAGATCCTATAGTATGGTCGAAGAGGACATCGTCGCGACGCCATACGACTTGAAAAGGTTAATGGCTGTAGAAATTTGAATCAAAAACAAATATTTTTGAGTATTATTTTCAAATTCATTCCAATCATTATAGTTTTCATATTAATAAAAATTTTATGTATTCTATAAATTTATCTCTTCAGCAAGAAAATTTCTGGAGTAAGTTTAAATTTGTTTTTACTCATACATATGTACAAACAAATGCAATCAATTATTGTAATACAAGTGGTGCTACTGTTGGTTGTTTGTTGGTTTATGAAGTAATACAGGTTTATCTTTTACTCACACATACGTACAAATGAATCAGACCATCATTTCTAAGGAGTGCAATCGCCTCTTTCACGTTCTTTAAAGGCTGCTTTCCACCAGGTAAATATATTCGCGCTAATCGAAAGCGTCAGTTTGCTTCCTGAGCTATAAATGGTTGCGCCTTTTTTTCGCTTTGCAAAAAGTAGAAACAGTTCAAAACAGTGCTAAAGCAAAAAAATCCTCACAGAAATGTGAATGCGCATGAACCAAGGCTTTCGATTCGCACAAATAAATTCACCTAGTGGAAAACAGGTTTACCGGGCTTTCAGGAGAGCAAATAACCATGCACTTTGCTTTTCGAAAAGAAGCCCATGGGCTTCGTTTTGAGATAGTACAGTACTGTACATACACTGTACATGTTTTTCAAAGAAACAAAATAAACTAGAATTACTTCTTTTACGCTACACAGCGAAAGCATAGCCTCCCCGAGTGCAATTTTTCCCTAATATAATGTCCCCCAGTCTTCACCGCTTACCCACTGACCAGTGGATATGTGAGGGACAACTAGCTCACAAAATAAGGTGATTTATAACTACTTGAGTGTGATTTGGGGTGGGGGGAGAGACTGGGTAGGACTGGGTGAATGCAGTGAGGGCCCAATTATTTTTGGGGTGTCGCCTACACAAAAACTGTACTTAATTGTGTAAAGTGTAAGATTGCGATTCCTTTTTAGTCCATTTCAACCGTTTTCTCTTGTTTTTTTATCCTATTCTGTAATGACTACATGACTAAAGCTCACCCTGCCATATCTCAAAGCCACGATTGGAAAAGCGAGACTATCTGCTTTAGCAATACTTAGTATTGAGCGCGATGAAGCAGACAACATTGCCAACTTTGATCATGTTATTAACTTATTTGCTGATGCAAAAGCACAGAAAATTCAGTTGTTTAAACAATGTTAAAAATTCAGCAACTTACAAGACTCTACTATAAGATAAATTTAAAGAATAAGAATACTAAGCTGTATGTGATAAATACAACAGCCTTACAAATTGCTCGATCCTACATACACGTACAGTACGCATGTTGAATTTTTCGAAATCGAATACCAGTAAATAAGGCTTTGAAACCCCTAAACGTTTAGTCTTCTTTCTTTTCCAAAAGATTTTGAGCGACGCCTGACCATGCCTACTTTGGGGACATCACCTGCCCGCACCCCCACCTGTGACATCCCACCACCCATTGGGCAAATTGTGGCAACACCCTTATATTATAGTCAAGTTCTGAGGAAACCAAAGAAGCCATTATTTAAAGGTCATTCAGAATACGATAAATACAGCAAACATCAAAACAATCATAGCACTACTGTACTCACAAGTTTGTAAGCCTTCAAGAGACCCTTTATAAAATCTACCTTCTGTCCATATTCAATTAATTTTTCTTTCGCAGGTACACTGAAAAATTAAAAAAAAAAACTAAAATTAATCCTTTTACACTACTCAGTAAAAGCATAGCTCCCTGTGCTGCAATTTTTCTCCACTATAAAATGTTATAATATTTGAATTCTGAAAATTTATAAGCATTTGAATTTGTATAAAGGATGAGTTTTATGGTTGGGGAAGGGGGTAATGTTCCCATGTCTTCTCCTCTCATCCACTGACCAGTGACATATCCTAGTCTCAAAATAAGTTAATTTGAGGTGCTCTATAACTACTTGAGTGCTTTTTTTGGGGGATGAAAGTGGGGGAGGGCGGGAATATTTTTAGGTAATCCCTCTCCACATGTTCACACCCGCTAGATACACTGCCTCTGCTGAGGAGAAAAATAATTATTCTATAGTAATCAAATAACCTCATCATAGCACCCCCTTCCACACTTCACTTATCTCTGCAAAAGTAGACCTTGGTCCAGCAAAAAAAATTAACTTTTTACGGCTCTTTTAAGTCTGCAAAGGACTTAGCAGAAGAGCTGTAAAAAAAGTTAACAATTTAGCTGTAGTTGCATTATTGTTATAGTTAATACCTGACATATCCTTATGTTAAAAGATTTTTTATGAATTTCGGCATTTTCTATCTGAAGTTGATAGTTACCGACAAATTCGGCCTTGCAAAATTTCAACATTTTCCTGGATTGGTGGTGTTGCCTAGTGAAGTCCACAAGACAGAAAACCCTGTGAATACTGTTCATCAATGAGGTAAATGGAAATCAAACACTGACCCCGGTATTTTTAAAACAAACTTTAGTCGTTGTTCGAGCTAAAACTTAAAAATTATGTCATTTCGTATTCTTAAAACGAACTTCGACTAGCACTACGCTTAAATGAGACGACCCTCGACTAAAACGACACCTCCGCAGGCCGAATTTTTTAGTCAGCATAGGGTCAGGCTAAATCGCCGACTTGAAATATTTACCCCCACGATATATCTTTGGTGTGTTAAACAAAAGAGACATCAAGTTTAGCTTCCTAAAGGAGAAATTAACATGTTTTCCTAGCTGCATACGATAGTTCCTGATTTGCACGTAATCCCCTAGCGTTGCAATCACCTAGCTTCACCATAACAACAAAGATGGCGCCACCCTCGCTCGACCTCAACTATAATAGTTCTCCAAAGAAAGCAAATTTTCAGTGACTGTTAAAATTCTTTATCGTAATATGTTAACAACTAATATAGATATTATTATAAAAAATTAATTAAGCGAATGATGGTCTATTATGAATTATGAGGAAATTTCGTCTGCTATTAAAGTTAGCTCTTTTCATTGGTTTAAGTTTGGTAGTCGTGGCTTGCCAGTCGTCTTCAGTTGAACTAAAACTAGGACTTGATTTAGTCGTAGTTAAAACTTCGACTACGTTGTTTGTGAATACAAATTGAAGTTGAAGTTGCAACTAGCACTAAATTAAGTTCTAGTTCGAAGTTTGACTAAAGTTTGTTTTAAGAATACAGACGTGAACCCCTAGATTTCTATGCAAGTTCCTACGAGGATAAAAATGTTAGAATGTCATTTTATAACGAAAATCTAAATAATAATGAACATGGAAAAGTTCTTTCCCATGTTCATACATCACAGAAACCAGATGAAACTATTTGAAAAATTCATTGTAACTTAAAGTAAAAAAAGCGCTTAACATCAAGATGAAACTTATGCAATTTAGACATTAAAATCACAGATACAAGTCAAAATAATATACAAGATCATTATTGAAAATTAGTGTTCCTAGCTAACAGGTGACCGACATCAAGATTAGTTATTATGTGTACAGTTAAGTGAATAAAAATGTTACTGTCTAGAAAATTGATACCAAAATCAAATGATTAATTGTTATTAGTTACACAAATATACTGAGGGACCAGCTGCGTCGAAGACAAGAAAATGGTGTTTGGGTTATTTTTGCTCAAAATTTTGTCAATGCAGTAAACCAATCCTGCAAAAATAGGGTTTCTGGTCATTTTTAGAGCAAATGCTGCATTAAATCAAATAAAAACATTAATGCTCTGGACAGTTTGAAGAAATCTGGGACTAGCTGTTACCCAAAATATGTGTTTATATGTGTTGATATAAACAAAGAAAAATTTTTGTAACTTCAAATTGTTATTACCTAGCCTAAACCAATGTAATTTTTCTAAAAAAAAATCAGGTTTCTACTCCAAAAATCATGAAAGTATACCTAATGGTCATACGGTAAGTAACTTTCGAGAAGAAATATAATTGGCTTTGAGATGAGGTTTCACATCTATATTTGGGCACCTTCCCTTTGGAATATATCACAGATACGCTATTTCTTTATATTTTTGCTATTTTCATTAAAATTTATTATTCTCAGCAAGCATACAGTATGGTTTTAGTATTTCTTTTTTGTCATACTACGATCATAAAATTGGTCAAATTGTGAGAGAAAATGGTTGAAATATCTGTTCATTTAGTATAATGATAAAAAGAAATAAAAACAAAAAATGTCAATATTTTGTGTTTTTTTCTCTAAAATGTACCTAAAACAAACAAGATACAAATGGATAGACAATTTCATAAGTTTTCATATGATTTGCAACATAATTGTATGATATATTACACGTTTTATATCCCTGGTTATGACTTCATAGTAAAAAAGACCTAAAATGACATTTATTGACCTCTGACCTGTTAATCCAGCAGTTGTCTCGTCAGATGGGAAGTTACAAGAGCCCCATGGAATGACCTTTCCAAAAATACCCACTAAACATGTGGTCATCATTTCATAAAAGTAGATGGCCCCTGGTTCTCGAATGACTGTATGAGCATTTTGAAGTCATATTTTATAGAGCATAAAATTCATGAATTCTGATTATACACTTAAATTTGGTACAGTGACTTTTAGTTTTCTAAGGCTGTGTTTATACTACACACTAAATACGAACACGGATTCACGTCCTTGAATGTGTTTACGCTAGCCGAGACGATCCTCCAAACGTCGGCGTTTATACAACACACCATTACAAGGGCTAACACGCCAAAGTATCATATAGCGCAATGTGTTCTGGGATACAGGGTCAGATCGTACTTCCGCTCAATTCGCGTGGTTTGTTTTGAAGGAGTGGATAGTTTACTGTTGTTAATCGATTGTCTTTTATATTCCGATATTATTTTTTCTCGTAATCCAATTTTGTTTTTACTTCACTGGTTTTTTATTTAACGATTGTCAACGATTAAGTAAGTACCAACAGAATGGAGGAACACGAATTTCTGTTAATTTTAATTAATCTGCGCTTGTTTTCGCCGTGCATTCTGAGAGAGCGGTATTACAAAGAAATAATCATAATCTATTATGTAATATTTCAAACGCCCCGCGATACCAGTAAGCATTTTTATCAGTTATTGATTTCTCGGAATCTATCCAGCAACGCTTGAAAATGCAGCGAATAAACTGTCTTGTTAGCCACCCCATCCAGTTGATTAATTACCGCTCGCTGTGTTTACGAGAGGTCAAACAATAGCCTGAGAGTGCCAAGTAGGCTTCGCAAGGTCGCGAACCGGCCAAATTTGGCCGGTTCGTCAAGTAGCCTCTTTGCCAGATGGTAATGTAATTACACGCAATCCGACGGCGTTTATACTACACACATAACTTTGGCGGGCTGAGAATGCGGATATTGGTGTGTTGTATAAACGGGCCCTAAGTGGCCAGGAGATAAAACATCACTTATGTCAGGAAGCAGAAGCTTAGCTAATTCGGCCACATACACGTAGTAAGATGTGAGGGGATGTAAAAAAGAATTCTTGGGGCACACATTCCAGGCAAGAGAAGCAGAGGAAGGCCAAGATGTAGATGGGATAAAACGGTGGGAAAGAGGCTTTTGGTTCGATGGACTAAGGCAACAAGGATTGCACAGAATAGAAATTTGTATAATGTTGCTGTGAGAGAAGCTACGCTCTAATAAGAGTACGCTTTGACGACAACGGCGATGGGAAATTTAATTATTTCCATAATTTTTAAGAAAGTACAAAGCATAGTGTGACCCATCCCACTAAGATTTTTTTTATCTATTCTTGTGAAAATTATGGGGAAAATGCAGTTACCATACAAAATCAAACCTAACATTTTGAAGAAAATTTATGTTTGTAACTTTCTTATTGGAATGACTCAAAAAAATTATAATTCACCGAAATATTTTATTTATATTATCATCATGAAATCATAAAACAGGGTTCACAAAAATATCATCTAGAGAAATTAATTAATAACAAAATACATTATGATTGCATTCTATATGTATGTACTGTATGTATGTATACTGGAATCAAATATATTAAAATCAAATCACTTACTGAATAGATTTCTTTAAGTCTGCATATCTTTGGTCAAGTGCACTCACATACTATAAGAATGACAAAAATAATAAACTCAGGTTTGCTTTGCCAATTTTCAAATCTATTAACCTTAAACTAAACTAACCTTCCCATCAGTCTATGAATAATGAGATATTGGATTGGATTGGATTAAACACCAAGGATAGCCCATGAACGTCTAGAAGAAGACTTATTGCCAGTGGAGTCCTGGTGGTGGGAAGTACACTGGGAGACAATCCCCTACTCTTTTCCAAAGAGTATACTGCATGCGTAAATGCACACGAGACCAACATAAACAGTAAATAATATCTTTCCTTGATGCTCTTATTACAGTTAATACTGAAGGCAGCTTGTCTACCTGTAATTAGGAAACTAAACACACACAGACTAGTGCCTCCAATTCACTTCATTCAAACCATGATAGGTGTGAAGCACTCTGCATGACAGATGAAAAAATTCATAAGAATTTGACCATATAAATTTGTACACTGAGCAACTGTGGTTACCCAAAATGGGCAATGGATAGGTTCAAACAAATAGGAGGGACAGGGAAAAGAAGAAACAACAGAAAGAACCCACAATTACAGATAATGTCGGCCTAGTTTATGCC